CCTCACAAACTTTCACATTAATTATAATATTAATACTCAGTAGAAGTATTGAGGTACCTAATTACCTACTGACATATAAGACTTTGTTATGAAAATCGCTGCTGAAAAGTTCATCTCGATAGAACCTAAGAATCTATACATATAATAAAACTGTAGAGGTCGAATATCTGTACATAGAAAATAAATGCTAAAAACCGAGTCATGGGGATGTAAGAAGAGAACTAAACAGTTTTTTTCAATTTTTTTGTTTCTTTGCTGTTTGTCTGTTTGTACGGGCTAATCTCCGAAACTGTTGGACTGAAATTTTGCATGGTGGTACCTTATATCCCGGTCAACAGGTTAGATACTTTCCAGCCCGGAAAATTAAAGAGTTCCCGTGGAATAGTTAAAAAACTATAGTAACTTATACAGCTTAGTACACAACAACTACTGATTGGGTTTTAATGAAACTTTACAATAATATAGTTCACACATTAGGATAAAAAATAGGCTACGTTTTATCCCGTTATCCCGGAAAAATGTACGGTTTCCGTGGGATAAATTTGTTTGTGTTTGTCTGGAGGCGAACAAGTGCGAAGTGAGGGTGAGCCGCTAAATAATAAGTCTATTTATTCATAGTATATTGAACTATACTAGGTACATTCACTATCCCCCCCCCCAACGTGCGTTCACCTTGTCGTGGGGGGGGGGCTCAGTAGTGCCCGGCAACCCAACCGGGCGCGAAGCCAAGAAACGCACAGGGCGGTGGCCCACTTCGGTGGGCGGTGGGAGGTGACCTCTTCGAAGGGCGGTGTACCATGCGGGTTGCTCCTGGTACTTCTCTGATAGCAGAGTGGACCTTGGAGCAACCCCGTGGTTGTCGTGGTCTGCTTCGGCAGACCTGCCGTCGGGGCGTCGTAGTTGAATGCGTAAGCGATCCTGCGACGCCCCATTAAGACGGGGGAAGGCTTTGTTGGGTTTTAGTGGGTAGTACTGGCTTTGTCGGTGAGTCTCACACCTCGTGCGTAAATGCATTTCCCAACGTTAAAAAAAAAGGTACATTCACTATAGTATAGTGCATTTTATTACGGCCACCTAGATAGGTGATCATAGATTATTGTTATTTAGTTATTACAATAAAATATATTAATGTGTTTGTAAGTATAGGTATATGTATGTAAATGAATGAATAAATTATTATTCTGTGTGTTACTTCTTCATACTGTAAAGGCTCAACGAATTTACCTGGATATACAAACTAGCCAGGACATGAGGACGTAGTCGTAATAAAATAAGTGCTTCATTATAAGTATATGTATGTTATCAATCTATACATATTTCAATAAGTTTAATTGAACTATAATTACAAAATTTTTACATTTTGTTTATGTTAACGTAGGTAATAATAAAAACAATTTATATTTGTTTCAATTGTTCTAGGCATTTATGTTAAGGATATTGCCAGATACTATTTGCATTGAATGCTTTTTCCGTTTATACTTTTCTTCCGGTAAATTAAAATGACAAAGTTGTCATTTTTAATACGTAAATCCTTGGAAGGAATTAGGATTCAGACGCCATCATTCGAAATCATGCCCACGCGTACTAAACGAAAATTGAATTTGCAATTTATTTAACAATATATGTATAAGGAAGCCGTTTTTTGACTACTAACAAGTGCTTCAGAAAAATGTTTTAATAATAATCTTTACAATAAAGGTCGTATAAAAATTTGTATATATCCTATTTAGTAAAAAAAACGGGTAGGGCTGTGTCGAGGGCCGGAGCACATCACCGTTGGTTTAACGTGAAAAATCTATTTCAACGAGTCGCTTTTAGCGTTTTTTTTTAAATATTTGGTTTTTTTATAAAAATTTTGCATATACGAAAACAAATTAGTAAAAATAGTAATCTTTGAAGATAGCAACGGAAAGAATATCATATATGTACCTACCTTTTTTAGACAATAACAATTGTTACTATGGCAACTTATTTAGTTATTTAGTTGATTTTAAAGAGGTTTCACGTCAAAATTAAATTAATTTTTGCAATAGGATCATAATATATTCATTTATAATTTTTTGTCACGAGGTGTAGGTACGACTAGTAGTGAAGCGTAGGTGGTGTGTTATATGCTATATTAACATATATACTAAAAAATAATAATAATAAAAACTTTAAACTGGTAATATCTTCATATTTAAACGCGCAAATTTCTGGAACTATTACCTACTGCGATTTAAAAAAATCTCCTTGCTTTTAATAGGCTATCTCATATTAACTGAAAGCTACAATTCTTAGGAATGGAGAATTTCACATAAATAAACTGTGCGAGCGAAACCAGGAGAAAAGTAAGTATAGTACAGCTTTGAAGTACCTAGTCTGATTTATTCGTACTTTGACCTTCAAGCGAGTATGCGAATAACTCATAAAAAGGCTTTCCCGCTAATTCCTTAATCTAAAGCCGCCTTTCAGCTCGGATTAAGACGATGTAAATATTTGGCATATGACATGTGACGAATGACGGACGTTGAAAATTTCATTGTCTTGAAAAAGTTTACTGTAGCCTAGGTTGTACTGAAAAATTTTAAGCCACCAAATATACTATGCCCTTGATTTAACATAAATGCGGATGTTGAAGTATAGATATTAATAATTGTTCATAATTTAGCATCTATCACAGGCCCGACCCTGATAATATGTTGTTTGACTTATTTGCCTTCATCCTTCTATCAAAACAGTAGGTATTATACATGCACAATTTAAATTCTTTCTAGCCCGCATGTCTACTAACAACTAAGTACATATTATTATTCATAAATTGAATGTGCTTGTTGATGATTTATAATTTAAAAATAAAAACATATGTGAGTCAGTGGCGGAATCACTCCAGTGTAGTGGCTAGCATGTACGGCTGCACATCCAGAGATCCTCGGTTCGAGTCTTGGGTCGAGCTAAGTTAAATAATTGAGTCTTTCTGTTAAGAAAGGTCGGGAATTGGGAAATTGGCTGTATTTCACTTCCATGCCTCGGATAGCACGTCAAGCCGTTGGTCCTGCGCCTGATGTCTCACTGGTTGTATCGAATTATCGTTCCTTTGGAACTTCAAAGTGAACCGAATAGAGAGTGCACTGCAGGTATCTGCGCCTATATTTGATTGACCACCGTGGCCGAAATCGGTCGGGAGACATCATATTTCATTGAGCTTTTCTTCGCTACATTCCTTTCTTGTGTGATTTTAATAATGGAGAAATAATTAACTTTTAGTTTAACTGTAATATATGCTATTTTTATATCGATTTATAAGCACAGTCACGTACTAATTTTATTAAGAGGTTCATACAATTTCTATTACACCTACAAGTTAAAATTATTTTTATTATTTAGCAGCAGTAGTAAAAATATTACCATATTAATTTGTCCAAAGAAAGAGTATTAAGCCAAAGTTTTGTTACGCATGTCCTCGAAATTTAGATTTAAAAATTATAGTACAAATATGAAGTCGGGACTTACCCTGGCATCGCTAGGGGCATCCCTAAGTGCCAACATTACTAGTCTTGTGTTATTTTAAGTCATAGATCTGTATACTTAATTTCAACCATATTTGTCCATATTGTGTATAATGTAATGTATGTATTAAGTTTATTATCTAGAATACATAAAAAAATATATTTTTAGATTATGGAAATTGTTAAAACTTACTTCGTTTTGGTTGTTTAAAGTTTTATTTGTGACTTTTCTATATTTATGTAAAAAAGATTGAAAATGAAAACTAAACTAAAAGATTTCAAAACACGATATACATAGTACCATACAGTGATATTAAATTATATTGTTTAAAAGCGTGTTTTCAAGCTTAAAGGCAAGTATTATGGTCTAAGTACTAATTAATACCTTCATTACCTGCCTTAAGTAAAACAAATCGATAAGAAGAATGACTTCAATTAAAGCCGAAGTTTCTTATGGGACATAATAAAAAAATTACTATCGTGACGCAAATGCAGGGACGCACTGAATAGAAATGACAGTCATTAATTGGTTCTACGTGTGTCAAATAGTTCCTTGTGCAAAACCAACGATGATCCGGACAGTGGTATTACTATGGCAAATGACTCAATTCATGTACATTTTAATTTTCCTAATATATGTATGTATTACGCATAAAGCAAACTTAACGCAACTTAGGAAACCCCGAATATATTTACGATACACAATTTTATGAAATAATCACGATTATTACAGTAAACACCTTTTACTCATATTTGATCACTTGGTTAAGTACTTTAACAAAAATAGCGACAAGCTTAAGGCTCATTACGTCAAACGAGGTTAAACTTTAAAAAATTCGCTATCACGAAAATGATGTAACGTACAACAGACGACTATAATTATCTGGCGCAGAATCCTTTTTAATCTTCCGTCGTAAACGGAAATCTTTCGCCTGAACGCGTTAGTATTATCATTGCTTTAGTGATATTCACTTATACATGTACATATAATGCTGGCAATAACCTTACATATTATCCTTTACGACGAGTTAATGCGAGTTGTCGCCAGTCAAACATTTAGAGCTGTACATATAAAAAAAGGACGTGGTCGCGATCGCCACGCGATTTGTAGGCGCGCGCGCGGGAAAATCATTCGATCGCATCGACCGCTTAGATCGAACGTCGGCCAATCGGAAAGTGTCATCAGGACGATTTTTTTTAATAATTTTTCACCTATCGACTTATATTTTTTCTAAAATGTTCCACCCAATTTAAAGTGGTTGTGCAAATTAATATCCATCATGGACTTCTGGAATTAGTGCTACGGAGATGATAGTTACATCAAAATGAACGCAGTTTATATTCTATGGACGCTATGAACAGTATTTACGATGACACAAAAGAAAATGCTTTTAAAAAAGACTATGTGGACATTAGATTTTTTGTAAACAATAAAAATTTCGTGAGTATCTTCGCGCGTGATTTTAAAGCTAAGAAAATTTAATAGATAGAAAGTAACAGAAACTAGTCAAGATGATGTCCAAAAAGCAGTTGGCGTGCATGCTGGCACTGCATATAGTATATTTGCTGGTCGGTGCGAGCATATTTTATCACATAGAGAGCCCCCTCGAATTGGCTCAAAGAGCAGAAGAAAAACTGGAAAGACTTGAAATCCAAAGTAAGTCTATTAGAAATAGCATTAACACCTATCATACAGGAAACGTGACCTTAATACTGCTTTAGAAATTGTATCATATCCTTAACTTCTAGTCTTCACTCGTCCACCGCTAAACTTGCCTTGCGAAATCGAACATTTATATAAAGATTTATGTAGAGCAAGTGTCAAGCTAATTATAAATTATTAGAATCATTATTAGATATTTACATATTATAAAATACAAATATATTAATGTATTTTGATACAAATGTTTGTAAACATGCAATTTTATTTTTTTTAAGACGTGTGCGAAAGTCAATAAGTATCAGATACATTAGCAGTCTATATAACCTTGCCATCAGATAAGTAAATAAATGCTGTTTTCAATACGGTGGACACTTCACTAGTTGCATTTATCGATCCACTTAAAGGATTTCCGATATAGTGATGTAACCAAACAAACAATGGAAAATGTAGCAATTTAAGACTATGAATAAATTATAAATATTAGGTTAAAAATAATTACATAGGTCAATACTTTACTAAAATCGTCTACGTATTTCCATTGCTCATATTTAATACTTATTTAATTTTCCTTATTATTAATGATTATAATTTGGAGTCTCTCTCCCAAAATATTCCATTAACGATAGCATCAACGAAAATGTTGTATTTTCTGTTCCGTTTAAATAAAATCAAAATTATATTTGGTATTTAATAATAGTACGTTATTATAATGTAGGTAACGAAAGCTTTAACGATCCTAGAAAATCAATTGTTGAAGACAAAATGTAATATATCTCCTATATACTAGTACATATAGAAGACGATTTCTAAGTCGTCCCCGAAACGAGACCTGACACTTGACAATAGTATAGGTAAATACTTATAAATTATCAGATTTATGGTCTTATTGCTATCAGCCAAAATACAATCGTGATTTTAGAATCAGCATCTCCTATTATTTATTAGCAGACCTTCGAATTTTTTGAGACATCTTACAGTAGTTAAATTATAAAGTCATTGTATTTTCTAAACTATAACAAACAAAGTTTAATTGGCATTATGATTAACTATTTACCTTTCTTTGTGGGTTAGATAGCAGGAAATCTTCTCCTGAATCGTTTCTCAATATTTTCATGACAATTTATCTATATATTATGTCCGTATGTATATTACCAGCCCCATGCTTAGCATTAATATTTTTCTCTTTAGTTAAATGCCTTAATACTGATTAAATTAATACTGATTAAATAATTGATAGTTAAGCAAATTAGAAACCAAAAATTGTAGCTTCCAGGTTAAACGAAGGGAGGTGAGCTTCATATGTTAAGTTCATTCATACCACTTTTGTTTCTTCCACCACTGCCATTACCATTTCTAACATGCCTTCCTCGATACGTAAACATAATAAACGGGATATTTCACATATATAATAAATTAAAGTGTCTTCATATGTTTGACCGTATTCAAAAAGTACCTACTCTATTCGGCTGTTTTTTTCCCATGCGATATCTTCACCTTTTTTGAGTTGACTTGCTTAGTTCTTTTTTTTTTAAACCAAGAGTCTATTCAATTTTTACGGAACCAACTACATGTGTATATAAATTAAATAAAAATAACCTATAAGAGTGTAATAATTACCTTTACAGCAGTTTTTTTTGTTGAAAAGTAATAAATTATTAAAGTATTGTGTGTAACTCCGTATTTTAGAAAATTTTCACTTGACAATAAACTAAATTATAATCAATTTCAAGTTAATTTGGATCAACTTTGAAATCATAATCGTATTAATTTTAAAGAGACTCTTACGAATATATAGAGCAGATATAAAATAATTATATGTGAAATATTTTATCACAAAATGTCTATCTGTGAATCTATGTTGAACTATTTGCTATATTGCGTTAAATGTAGATTGTAAGCCCTAAGGACAATTATGTTGCAAGAATTGTTCTTATTTTAATTTTTATAATACTATACCAGATAATTTATTGCTACGATTACTAAGGCAATAAATGTGATTGTGAAACGAATGCTCTATTTGTAATTATAATTACTCTTATTGGAAGTGTTCAAGAGATACTCTTTCATTTCTTTGTACATAAAAAGTCAAGTCATCAAATAAATTAATATAAAAACAATACATCAATATGGTATTTAATTTATTCACATTTACCTAATATTTGTTCAAAGCCAAATATTTTATTTTATGAAAATCTATTATTAAAATACCCCGATTGTATTATTACATAGTAATATTATTTATATTTATTGTTCATCATCAATCAGTACCTGCTAAAGTAAAAATGATAAAATGAGTTGCCATCATAATATCGAATAAAAAAAGAAAAATAGTATGAAGCTTATTTATTAAGAAAAAAGCTCTCGATGAGCTGAAATAAAAAATAGCTTATATGCAAAAAATACTTAACAAATTTTCATAATTATAATACCTAATACTAAGAATTAAAAAGTAAAAAAGTAATTTAGAAAAAGTCATCATCACAAATTACTGCGATGTATTTAAACCTAATGTTCAATCTAATACGTTAAAAACTTTTTAATTTAACGAGGTATATAATATTTTACTGCAACTTCGCTCGCCTACCTACTAAAGAACTAAAAAGGTAGGTTTCATACAAACTTTCATGCCCTATTTTACCCCCTTATGGGATGGATTTCAAAAAATGTTAAAACACGTATTTATTTAATTGTATTGAAGAGCAATAATACCAAGTTTCAAGTAGTTCTGATCATGAATATTTTTTTGGGCTGTATTATAACGTGTTTTCCCGTGGTAATAAGAGAATGTCCCGCGGTAAAAAGTAGCCTATGTCACTCACCAGCTCTCCAACTATCTCCACACAAAAAATTACGCTAATCCGTCATTCCGTTTCCACGTGTAAGAAGGACAAATAAACAAACAAACAAACAAACAAACAAACAAACAAACAAACAAACAAACACACATTCACATTTATAATATGAGTATGTATGGTAATTAAACAATGAAATGTGATCTGAGTCATATCGATACTATCGATTCGATACTGTCGAAGCTCTACCTACATACGTATTAAACGTATCACACTCTATTGTTATATTTTTCCGCGGGAGTCGATGAAAAAAATTTAATTGAAAACGTAAGTATAGCATAATTATTTTTCCTAACAGTATAATTTCCCGATTACACTTATTTTGTAATTTGTTCTGTGAATCCATTTTTCATTTGAGACGTAAGTAATACTTTTATTATATTCCTTAATTACTAAATGGTAAATAATTAATAAAATAAAAATAACTAATGTCTAAGTTGAAATTAAAGACAAACGAATCAACGTATATAATACGACTAGCGACTCACACTTGCTCGACTCGGTTTTATCCCTAGATATTTTTTAACGGTTAGTATAGATTTTACAGAGATAAGATATTTTCCCAAAGTAAAAAGTATCCTATATGTTGACCCGGATAACCGGCTATCATCAGACCAATTGTCATCAAAATCTGTCCAGTGGTTTTCTCGTGATGCGTTCTCAGACACACACACAAACAGACAATAATTTGGCCTCTGTATCGATAGTAATTACTATTTCAGTAAGGTTTTCCAAAAAAATATTTAGTCTACAGATTCGATTCACAATTTTATTATATGTAGGTATATGTATAGATTATATGACACTCGCTAACTGAAAGTTAAGAATCTACCACAAGTTTCAAAATAATGTATCTACTGCAGTTCTAAGAGGAATTAGCAAAAGAAAGCTTTAAAGTTGTATAATTTTCATCTAAATTCGTCAAGCTGTTACAGAGTGAAGTAACACACAAACACACTTACGCACTAACACATAGTTATAAGATAACATATAAGATATTTTAATACACCGTATAATCTAAGGTTGTCGGTTAAATAAAGCTTAACTTATTTATTTAATTCATAACTTATGTGCACAAATAGAACAACAAATATATACTTTTATCTTCTTGATAAACAAGATGTTTTACGTAAAACCTCACAAAATTGTACGCGCAAAGTGTGCCTCATATGGATGTTTATGTATATTTTTTGTGAGTTCAAAAACTTATATTTTCATTGTACAAACTTAGAGACAGACTGGATACTAGAAGTTAAGAAGATAATGAAGTTCACGAAGGAAGATTTTTTGAAAATTTCCCTTTATGTTGGCAAAAGTTCGAATTTTCATATAAAGTATCTTGACTGCAAAAAATACTTGAAGTAATTTTGACTAATAACACCTCCAGGTAAATTTCTGAGAAATTAATTAAAATTCTAAGAAATCTATTGTTAACTGACACGCCGGCGTGTCCGCGGTCGTGGAGGGATTATTATTCCACAAAATCAATCAATTACTACTGCTACTTTTATTTACCAAATTAATTCTAATCTAGAAAAAAACTACGCAAAGCATGACAAATTGCTAAGTAAAATAAATTAAATTAATTAGGTACATACAGCAAAAGGTGAAGTCACAATATATTATACGTTTTTTTTGAACGTCATATGGGAAAGGAGATGCGTTGTTGAAATCCTTTCTCGATATTACGTATTTAGCTTATTACATCAAACTATATGAACAAAGGGAAATCACAATTGTTACATGTTGCTATATCCTTATTTGTTACTTGCCAATAACAAGTCGTATTTTAACATCATCATGAAAAATATTGAAGTACATATTATTAATTAAGAGCAATTCCGCGAACAATAGGTAAGTTCATATACATACGTGACCAGTAACTTAATATTTTTACTATTCTGATAATTTAATGTAATGAAAGCGTTTATAAACAATATCTTTATATGTATCGTTTATAAATAAAATTTGTATTATCATATAAAGGATTAATTTATCTCTTCTATTCTCGTGTAAAGACAGAGCCCATGTTATGTAGTTTAAGATAATAATGTAATCTGTAATTCAATCAAAATAAGAGTTTTATAAAGTTGAAAGAATCTACGATCACTACTAATAAATAATCATATTATTGTAGGTACT